GCCAGCACCTCAGACCACTGCTTGACCCTCAACACGGAGCCTTGTCTCGTTCTTGGGGGGATTCACTGTATGCTGTTAGAGGACTGATTGCCAGGAGTGTAAGCTGGATTGTCTGCTTTTCCTGTTCGTCTGCTAGCAGCTATTTGGGAGGTTCCAGTTCGGGAGTTGGAGTGCCATTTTGTATCCAGTTCGTGAGTTTTGGTGTTCTGCAGTAGCTGTGCCTGCATCTCTGGAAAGGGGGCCGATCGCCTAAACGGTTTTTACCCCTTGTGTGCAAAACGGTCCGTTACACCTGCTCTGCCTTAGTGAAAATGCATGAGAAACTGCACTACATAAGCTGCCAGGTCCCCTCACAGTTTTGGGTCCTTGGTCTGTGATTGACTAATTAGCTGAGCAGACTGCTCTTGTCCTGCTATATAAGCATGATCCATCCGAGATCTAGGTGCTGTAAAACTGACTTGAGGGTCATCCATGCCAGAATTCCATGCATCTGATATGTTACCCATTCTTTTCTTTTATATATTTTAATCGTGTTTGTATTGTTTTTATATTATGTTGAACCAAAAAAACACTGGCATAGATTTATCAAAATGCTCTGTTAAAAAAGTTGTCTAAAGTGCAAAACCTGGTGGCAAATACCATGGAGAACAATGGAATTGGCAGGTGCATTCAATTCTTGCTCCTGTCCTTCTAGATTTTTGCACTACTTTTTAGAGAAGGGTACTTTGATAAAATCTCCTGTATATGGTGCATTAAGGATGTTCGTTTGTGTTTGTTTTAAATAAGTGTCATCTCTTAGTAATTTCAAATGTTCATTTCATATATGACAACTACTGATTTTATGTTTCTATGCTGACACAATGGGATACTTTTTGAATTAAAATAATTAAAGTAGTTTTCTCTGAAACTTTGCATTTATATTAAAAAAGAAACAAACTACAAAAAAAAAAAAAACAATCTTTAACTGAAGAATTAGCAGAGAGTTCCAAATAGTAGGAAGAGCACATGATATATCACATCAGTCAAATGTCCAATACTTGGGGTTTAGAGAATACATTTCTGCAACTCTTATAACATTATAGGCAACATTGTAAAATACACTAAAGCCTACTATATAAGTCTGTTATTTAATTGTTGAATATTTTGCAATCACACATAAATAGATTTTTGTTAAATAAAAGCTTAGTTTGTTTTTTCTTTAAATATATTTAAACTGGAAAACACTTTAATTTACTTTTTTTCTGTGTGAACTAAAATTCCTGCTCCTTTAATTTGGGAGAAAAAAGGTTTTGTGTGTCATTTTTCTTTTTATTTTGTTAATTGGCACAGTGTGTGTCCAACTTTACATCCTGCGGTGCTTGAGTCTTATCATAGGGCTCCCATAAGCCCATTAATAGAATGATGGCAATGGTTCTCTACAGTGAAGTGCATTGGTTACCACACAATCTGGATGTGTTCCCAGTCCCAGAGTACAATGGATTGAAGCTAGGAATTGGGTAGTTAAATAAGTGGCATTGCTGTAATGTTCCTCCATTGTGACATTCCAGGCCTTCTCGTACCTTAAAAGGCCAAAGCAGAAAAAAAAAAAAAAAGCACACACACAAAAACATACAATGCTTCTGAAAAGACCTTGCAATCAACAATACAAGGTTGGAAATCTTCTCTTTTCTGGAAAATTGGTTGTTTTGCTGGGTTTTGTTCTGTTTTGTAGTAATGTGGATCTCAGGTGAATTCCACATTTAATGGTCTTTCTCTAAATAGGACACTAATTATAAGCATTGTTTTCATTCAGTCTTGCAACAATAATCAGTGTTTATTTTCCCATTTTAAGGTGTTAAAGAAGATTTCAAAATATATCCAGGAGCAGAATGAGAAGATATATGCCCCCAGAGGCTTATTAATTACCGATCCTGTTGAGCGTGGGATGCGTGTTGTATCCTTTTTCTTTTGTATTTATTTTTCGTCATCTTCTTGTCTAAAATGTTTTATTGCAAAATCCTTTCTAATCTGAATTTGCATACCAAAAAAACATGCAGAGAAAAAAATATAGAACCTTGTGAAAACACATTTTACTGCCAGATAAATAATCACAGCTCTATTCTATCAGACTACATTGGTTATCCTTTTAATAATGCGAGAAAGTAGGTTACACTTTGCTTGTGTTATTCCCCAGATACTGAATGGGTTCCATACATTTTATATTGTTTGTAAGTCTAAGTAAAAGGATAGGACTCACCCTATGGACCAGAATCGTAGGTGTCACAGGCATCTACAATTTAATTCAAGTAGTATTCACAGTAAAATTGTATTCTAGAAGTACACCAAATGTAGCATTCCTATGTTTAAAGAGTACATTTTTTTTTTTAATTGTGGCTTTTTAATGTCCATTTTGTTACTGTATTTTTTTTTTTTTGCCTTATTGGGTATATAGCAATATTGAGTGTGTTTATTTCTTGGAATCATTACTGTAACGGATCACCTGGCACCCCGACTGGGTACCTCCGTTAAAGGATGCTCCTAGCACTCTGGCAGATACCACAATCACCGAACCGGAGAAGCGTATACCTTCTCTCAAGCATCTGAATGCTATAAACAGCTGAATAGGCTAAAACCATACGGATGGGTTTAGACTCCTAGCAGTCGAACTGGAACAGCATACAAAAATCCCCCCAAGAATGAGACAAAGCTCCATGTTGAGGGTCAAGCAGTGAACAGACTGGACTGGCACATACAGCCTCTTTTATTCCCAATCCACAAACTTAGTACTGCCCACAGGGTTTTACATAACAACCAATAACACACGTACATTACAGAACAACACTCCCACACAAAATCCTCCCCTCTGGCTGTGATATGATCACTGAACACAATGGTTAATCTAATTATCACAGCCAGAGAAATACAGTTTTTCCACATTATTCATAACTTGAAAAGTATGCATCACATTCACATAAAACTTACATTTTCAGAATCAGCATACTCAAAATACAAACATATGTCAAATCATACATATTGGTCCAGTGGTTCAAAAGTTAAGGAAAAGTCCTATTTGACCAAATGCAGCATGGCTTTTCTGCCCAAAATCAGTTACACAGAGTCTTATATCCTGGAGATAATTGGGGAAGTAATCCAATTATCTCCAGGACAGAGGCAAAACTTCATTAGCCACATGGCAGCAAAAGACAATAAAACACATAAAAACATATAACTGTGCAGCCATTGCACAAAACAGGTACATTCAACATATCCCCAGATAGCTCAGATCTGAGCACACATTATTACTGAATGGCGCTCAGAGCACACACATACAGTTCAATTGCCATGGAGCCAAAGTCTTTCCCATAGTCTTTCATTATACAAATGGGCTCCATGGCATAGCTATCTGGGTAACATTGCTCACATAGGGAAAGTACCGAAAGACCCAGCTTTTGGGTCTTTGCAGGGGAAAATCCATCCTTTCAACATGGCAGGAGGCCATCAATCAGTCTTCTCCAATGCCCAGTGGCGAGGCTGGTTCCGCCACAATTACCATCAGTATCATTAAAGTGGACATTATAACAGTGATTTATTAAGTCAGTGTCAAGGAAAGTTGCATGCCAAGGTCTAAAAATGAACCATATTTATATAGTATGTTAGGTTGACCATATATTCAAAACCATCACCCTCAACCTTTTTTGAACTCTTTATTTAGTGATTGTCTGTAGAAATGGACATTACTTTCAATTTTATACATGCTTCCTCTTGTCTCATAACCTATAGATTGTTAATTAGCTGTCTAGCTTAGTTCTTTGTATAAAAAAAGCTGTAAATGCTAGGTCTCAGCTTTTCAGTAGAGTCCTCTGTTACTTTTGTATCGGTTTGTTTATACTGTACCGTCTTTTTTCCAATTGTACAGTGCTTTGGGATATATTGGCACTTTATAAATATCAGTAGTGATAGCAGTAATAATAATAATGACCTACCATATATACAAGGTTCACAGTAAATGTTTCAACATAAAGTACGGCCACAGTAAAAAAAATTATATATCATAAATACGCATATATGTATAAATAGTTTTAAAATAGAAGACCCCTTATGCCATTCTTTGTTTATATCTGCAGTAAGATGTGCTACAGATCAAACGATCAAACATTTTTAACCCTCTAAAGCACAGTAGTCATACAAGTCAGTCCCTGTCATCCCCAGGAATGTCAACCAGGACCAGCCAAGCTTAGAGAACAAAATTCCTCGGAATCCAAGAATCAGCGGAGCTGAGAAGCATTACTCAGTCACCTTATCACTCCATTATCTAACCAAGAGAGGATTAATTTGCTAAATCTGATAAAACAGAGAGATTTATGTGCTTTTATTCATTCTTGTTGACTCAAAAAAACTAAAGGAAAATCTATAAACTTTCAAAATACATAAGTACAAAATGATACTAGTGATGGTAAAAGTTGTTTGGTCTACGTCCATACATTTACAGTTCAGGAAATTGTTCACTCTGGGGTGTGTGTGTGTATAGTTCATATAGTTGGTTACCATTTTAATATTTATTTTTTCAATCTCATTATGCTCTTTCCTTATAATCCTCCTAAGATTGAAATTTCGATTTATGAGGACCGATGCAGCAGTGGAAGCAGCAGCAGTGGGAGCTCAAGCAGCACCAGCAGTGGAGGTGGCGGAGGTGTGGCTAGTCGTGCCCGATGACTGGCAGAGAGTCCCTGTGGGGACCTGTACTGCCGAGATGATGGCCTCTCTGAAATACGGAGACTGAGATATCAGAGCACAAGGTTTTAACACTGGGCTGTAACTTCATTTTTCCAGTGGAACCTGGTAGGATTATTCATCTGGTGCAAAATTAATAACTAAACTGAGCCATCTGCCAAATCTAGTCAACAAGAAAAAAAACACTAATCTAGATTTCTTCAAACTTGATTTATTATTTATTTTTATTTTTTTGGATGCAATTTACAGACAATGCACTAAAAGCTACCAAGTATTAGAAGACTTTTTTTTTGCAATATACATAAAGACATTGCTTCTATTACAAGGTCTTTATGTTTCCTCTTGGTCATGCAATTAAACATTGAAGACCTATTTTTCAAACAAAATTCAGTTTTCATCACCTCAGAATCTTCATGGTCAACCAAATATAACAGGTAACAATTTAATACATTAAAAAAAAATGGCTTCCAACATACTCTTCCACTACTGATTCTTAAAGCTTGACAATGAAAATTTGAACTGGTATTTTAAGTTCTAGCACGTTCTTCCAAGTTCACCCATAGGATCATTAAAAGCATTCCTTAGACATCAGAATTCCGTGGATCTGAAGTTGTGAAAGCAATAGGAATTATTCCCAACATGTTGCAAATCCTACTGAGTTTGCACTTTAGGAGGCAAAAAAATATAAATTTGAGTCAATCTATTGACTCTAAAACTAAACAATTTTTAGCTTCAACTGAATTAACTTAAAATTTAAAAAATCTACAATATAGTTTGCAACAAAATCTTCACCTATTATAAAATTAACTGGTAGATTTTATTTTGAATTCCCAATATAAGTCAACTTTAATGAAGCAAGATGAAAAATAATCATTACTTTTTATAATACAACATTTAACCTCATCATGTATTGCCTTAATTCTATAAATGGAATACAAAACAGATTATCGAGGGTAATGTCTAATAACATTATAGATATCAATTTTGAGAAATATAGCTTAAATATTTATTTACATTGTAAATTGTATATAACATATTGAATCTTGGTATTAAGGGTAACAATGTAGTGATTTACAGTCTTCCCATTAATTAAATTGAATAAATGTTTGTAAAGATGAATTTCAAACTGTTGAATAATTGCTAGAAGTGGTTTTATTTTTAATCCAGGTTTAACAGTGAAAGGACTGTATTAGTCTTAATGTCTTGGATGATACAATTCTTGAAAATGAAATTGATGTCCATGAAGATGTAAAAAAGTCACTAACGAATGCTCCTCTACTTAGACAGGGATAACTTTCAAATATTTGGAGACACCTGTATCATGGGCATGTGAACAGACACAAAAATTGTACTAGGAAATAATTTTAACAAATTCTGTTACATTATAGAACATCGAAGAATGTGCCCTAAAAGGGGCCATAGCTGATATGCTCACAGTGACAGCGGTGTTCTAAGAGAGACATGTGGCTAGACTCCAGCAAGTGTGAGGCCTTATGTGGTTTTACTAGATTAATAATAGAGCCGCCTCTGATTATATCTAATGGTGATTTGAGGGTATGTAATTGTGTTGTACTTCTGTCACTCTGGCTGTTTTGAGTTTGGATTACCATGACTCTCAACCAGACATTTTAAGCTGTCTGTACATCATGGTAGTGTAGCACCAAAAAGTAGTAAATATACTTGATAAATAATTATTTTTACTCATCCAAAAGGAACTCCACTTTGTCCTATTTTTTTGTTTTTTAAATCATGTTGCCTTAGGAGTGCACTGAACCCACCTAAAGAGGGCAAAATCATAGCTAAATATTTGAAATTGATGATAATTAATATATGCAACTACTTGTGTGTCTTCCCCAAATAAATCGCACCAGAGTGAATAAACAAACACAAAAATTAAGCACAGATAAAATATAAATAAATACATGGACCCACATCAGTGTATTTATGTTTTAGCCGTGTTTTATAGTATATATTGTGTTGAGGACACTGAACTTAAATCTTTAGTAGAGAAAAGAGAAGTGCTAGATCAATACATACAACAAAGCTGTTCTGTTTTTCTTTTAAATTGTAGGGAGATCGGATTCATCTGATGCAATTTGGTTGCAAACCTCTCAAACAATGATAAACGTTTTGCATCAAAGATGGAATTTTAATTGGCATTTTATTGCCAGCTGTGCTCTAGATGAGTATCATTAAAACAAAGTCAAAACCTTAAAATATCTGTCTGCGCATCCACAATTACAAAAAAATAAAAACAAAGTGTTGTAAACAGGGGCAACTCTATGAACAATATGTTTGGGGGGCATGCCACGAAACTGGGGGAAGGGGAAGGAAGGGCACTAATAATTTCCACTAGAGGGCTGGTTAACGTTCTGTCACTGGCTGTCTAATGCTGGTATCAAACAACACAATTGCACAAAATTCACATTGGCCACCAAGAATTCATGATCTGGGCTGGCTAATGATACCTATTAACTTTGATCTTTCATTGGTTTAGCAGATAACTTCCTTAAATGCAGTCTTCTTGTGGGATTGCCATATTTAAGGACACTAAATAAGGGAGCTATCTGCTAAACAGTGCTCTAGTTTGGTATTCTTCAATAAGGAAATCTAATAAGGGAACTACTTTAGGGCATCATCTGCTAAATAGCTGAAAAGCCCAAATGAAGAATCACTTCTTAATTTTTTATATTTTAGTTATTTAGTAGATAACTCTCTTATTTGTAATCCTTATGTAGGATCAGAATATTTAAGGATAACAAATTAAAGCCCTATCCACCAAACATGTATACATATTTTATATAGATATACAGATATAATCACAGACATACACACAATCACATGCATAATCACAACACACACACACAACCACAGGCATACTTACAATCACATGCATAATCACAACATACACACACACACACAACCACAGGCATACCTACAATCACAAGCATAAGCATGGATGCACACAATCAATGACTTACACCCACAAAGACACACATACTGACATACAAAATCACATTTATACACACACACACACACATTTAATAATAAGAGGTCCACCCAGCCTCCTTACCTTGCCCTGGGAGATCTGGAGTAGATCCACTCACTGGTAGACAGTGTTTTTTTTTGCAAGGGTCACTGTGCTCTCCCTGCACAGCTCCCTCACATGTCCTGTAGTGATACCTTTGCGGGATTATATCCTATCCTGGCTACTGGCTCACTGTAAGGGAGCAGTAGAGGAAGAGCACAGTAAGTACAGAGCGCCATGCCTCCCATGCTGCATGGAGTCCCCATCTTCCCTCAACTGAAAACCTATTTTGAGATATTTTGTCAGAGAAGCCACTTGCCATGTGGTTAGGCAGGCGCCTACTCTGCCCAGTTACTTATTGTTAGGCGCACCTTCAAGTGGCCCCGCTTGATCCCCTGTACTGACACAATATGTCATAGAGAAGTAGAATAATGTGTGAATATAAATACAGTGAAATCTTTAGCATTTTATTAAAACAAAACTTGAAATACTCTTTTATATTGTAGTACATATGCTTGTGTAGCGTCATAATCTTACAATAGAATGTAATATCTTATACTTCACATACTGCCATTCACAAAAGCCTTTCAAAAGACTTCCATTTTTGTCAGACCGCTCTTTAGACCTTTTTATGCAAGTGAAAAAGCTATTTTCTTAAGACTTCCTAAAAAGCATTTAAAAGTTCACTTGTTACAGATGCCAAACAACATCCAAAAGGATCCCTGGACGTCCGAGGCTTAACATCTTTCTGAAAGGTTGCTCTCTAATTTGTATCTTACCATGGAAAATTGACTTGTATCGAACAACAAAATGAACACACAGACATGTGAACTGTTTGAGATGTTTTGGGGGGTTTTTATGCGCATGTTTTGGCAGATTTTTCTGAAGCATGATGTAAAATTTCCAGATATTGGTTAAATAATGGTAAACAATGTGTATAATCCACAGTGAAAAATAGAGGAAAAGAAAAAGTATGTATCGTTGTTTGCTGTCTGACCTGTATGCTATAATTACATATTGTATTTTTTTCATGGAAATATATAACTTTTTTTTTTTTTATCCCTTATGTATTTAATGAGCAATTATTTTTAATTTTGAATGTGGGAACTGGATTTAAAAAAAAAAAAAAACTAAAAACTGTGTAAACTGTAGCCTTGAACACTTCAGTCATGGAATGTTTGCAGTGATGTACTTTGTTTTTTTTGGTTTTTTTGTATGTGTTTTTTCCCCTCAATACTGAAGATTCTTTTATTTAATGATACATATGAAATTGCTAATATATTACCAATCAACCATTTAATATGTGTAAATATTAAAGTAAAAATGGACTAAATAATTCAGAACGATAAAAATGAATTATTTTTTTCAAAACAGAGAATTAACTTTTTTATATTTAAATTAATGCTATCCCACCATTAAGAATAGGGGCTTCCTATATTTCTTTCTAGTGTTTAAGATGCAAGTTTGGTTTTGTCGATGTACCATTACTCATCTGACCTTGTTCTATATGCCAGTTGTAACTGATAAATGATCTAGTACTAAATAAAAGCGCATGAGGAATATGTTTTTTATTTTATTTAATATCAAGTGGTGAAGGCATCACAATGCACTTTCTAAGTCCAATATATATGATTGTGTCTAGATTTCCATGACTCTACAAAAATGTTTGTCTAGTTGTCTAATAAAATAGAGCTGATTACTTTTTCCTTAAGCATTTTTCTTACCAAATTCTTTTCAATAAAAAATGTTCATCTATATTTCTGTGCTACTTATGCAGCCCATGTTTCAAATAAATGTAATGTTAATTCGGGTTTTTATTGCTTTTCAGAGATTTCTAAAATGTTTCCATTTTTATAGATGGTAATTCTTATGTTGTTTTTTTTTTTTATGTATGCTTTATGGAATAAGCACTTGGCATTGCATGGGGTTTATAATGTTATACGATTCAAGTTTGGAACTGTTTGTTAGAATGCAGCTTTGAAGTTTGACCTGCAACATTTTACATATAGTGTGGGAAGAGCAACGTGGCTTTGTTTAAGTCCCACTGCAAAGATGCAGGCAAATATAAGTGAGAAAAATCTGTTCTCTTGCTATTGGAGCAAACATAAAGGTAATTGGATGGTCCTTGGGTGGACATGAACATATATAAAACTGTTAAATCCCTTTAGGAAACAATTAGTGTTTTATGGTATCAAGAATTAAACATTAAATGGAAAATACCTAACCATTGCCACTTAACCCTTCGTTGTCAATAACACGTATACACATTTAGAGATAGATATCCACGCACCTTCATCTGTACTGGAACATCACAGTTCTTCTTCACTATGATGCCAGTGAAGTCAAATGTCAATGAGAAATAAGTGGCAGAAGCAGTGAAGAGATGGAGGCAGACTTTTTGGGGATGTAAGTATTTTTTTTTACAAAAGTTTCCACAAGAATGGAGTCAAAGATATTGAATTGTCACTAAAATATTGCATATTTTTTTGTAATTTTTTTTTGTAGTTTTTTTATTTTTTTTCATTGTAAGTTTTTTGTTATTTTTTCAGGATTATAGATGGTAATTCTTATGTTGTTTTTTTTTATGTATGCTTTATGGAATAAGCACTTGGCATTGCATGGGGTTTATAATGTTATACGATTCAAGTTTGGAATGTAACTCCCCATTGGCTAGATGTCATTGCCAGATTATGGTATTAAAGAGGCAAACCTGTTGTACTGCTATGATTTAATGGAAGTTGCCTCATTTATGCTGAATTGCGTGTTTTAACATTTTTGAAATTGAATTGTATGTAACCGTTCTGGTTTGTGTTCACATAGGTACTCTCTTGCCCATTTAAAGTGAAACTGTCACCACTTACCTGGCCCTCCTCGGTTGTTCACTGATTTGCTGTGCTTGGGAACACACTCTGCAAGTATGGCAAACCTCCTCCATGATGCTGACTGCGTCTGCATGGAGTGAGGTCAGGTCCCTCTGCCCTATACTCCCTAGCCAGTGTTAGAAGTGCTGGCTAGGGAGTTACCATTACAACGACAAAGCATGATTTTTTTTAAAGTTCTTTTTTTTCTCCAAATCTATACATTTGTTAGCAAAAAATGCTAGCACGTTGTATAGATGGAATTTCATGCTCTTTTAAAAGAAAATAAATAAAACTACAACTTTTGACAGATGTGTGCTAAAAGTTCTCAGTTATAACCCCAATTTTTTTTATTTATTTATTTTTGTGTAAATTGACCCATGAGTGCATAGGCCTTATTTTGGCATTGCAATTTTGTATAAGTGTGTATGTTGTGTGTGTGTGTGTGTGTGTGTGTGTGTGTGTGTGGGTGGGGGGATGGGGGTGTGTGTCTGTGAGCCACAACATTAAAATCATCTGCCTATTATAATGGAGATCCCACCTCGTATTGTCAAAACATCTCTGATGCATCGAAGCACGGACCTTAACAGACCTCTGAACGTTATCTGGCACCAAGACATTATCAGCAGAACTTCTAAATCCTGCAGGATGCGAGGTGGTGCCTCAATCAATCAAATTTGTTGTTTCAGCACTTCCTACATATTCTCAATTGGATTGAGACCTGGGGAATTTAGAGACCAAGGCAACACCTTGAACTCTTGCCACGTTAGAAGTTCAATAGTTAAATAACATCACCCTTAAGCATCTCATGACATATACTGGTAATACTGACCATCCAAAAAATTCAGACTTTATTCACCAGTTTACTTCCCTTCATGAAATACCATTTAATCACTTTCTTCAGCAAATTGCATATTACCTGAATGCTATGGTTTGCCAATGTTCACCCTATACCTTCCTAGGCTTCTATACAATATGTGTGATGCTATAAGTTCATTTATCAAAGCAAAATTAATGAGGCTCCTATAAATTAATAAATAAAGATGACTATCATACTTTGTGAAAAATATATTGAAATACGTTTTTGTAAAGTGGTAAAGGAAAAGCATTGGAGAATACATTCTCCTATTGCACATATATATAAAATGTAAAATATCCGGATAAATGTGGCTGCTCTAGTATCCTACCTTATAGCTGATATATATCCTAGCTGATATTGAAATAGAAGTCTTATTGCAGGAGGTGTAGCACCACCTTGGTACAGGCAAAATGACTCCCAACATTTGGTTGTTAGTAAGTATATCCTCAGATTTATAGTTTAGTTATATCTTATGATAAAATAATCAATGCCTGCTATAAAACCTTTTTTTGCCACTGTATCAATAAGTCCTCAAAAATTGAAATTAAATCATGTTGCTTTTAATTTTCTTATTATAATGTTTTTAAGTCAACATTTAAACAAAGGTAAATTCCTAAAAGAACACTATAGGGCTAGGAACACAAACCTGTATTCCTGGCCCTGAAGTATTTTTTCCAGCATTGCGTGGGTCTCGCAGAAAGCATTAGATTGGCTGAGACTGACAATTCTGATTATCTCAGTCAAGCAGATGGGACGAGGGGCAGAGCCAAACACTGCACTGGCTAATCAGCATCTTCCCTTTGAGATGCATTGAATCAATACATCTCTATGGGGAAAGTTCAGCGTATCCATTCAGAATACTTCATGAAATACTCATACTCTTCATAAAATACTCATTCTCTTTATGAAATACTTATTTTGACTGTGTGGGAATTTCACTGAAATTCTAACTCAGTCAAGATATATGTAGAGACAAATAGGAACCTCGATATACTGCGAAATATATATAGTATTTATATTATGTACATATTTTGCAGGACACTGGTTGGCCAATGTTAGCTCCCATTTGTTTCCTGACTCAATTGTTCGGTATCAAAATTCTACAGGAGCAAATCAACATATGGCTGAAATTCATCTGTCCCCAAAATGTTTTTGCTCTTTTATGGGGTGTGGGGGGGATGTTTCAGCCAGCCAAATGTTCTGCACAAGTTTTATTTTTCTTCTTTTGAGTAAATTGACATTATAATCATAGACTATCTAAATGGCTTACTTGCTTGTAGTTGATATTTTTAAATCAATATTTCAACTGATCAAATATGTTGGCCATTTAGAAACTTGCATTATGGGGTCTGAGTTACCCAGTAAATATTCCCATGGATACAAGGCCCCAGAACTCCCATATCTATGATGTCACCAATTTCATAAGAGAAATGGAAAACATTTCTAATGGCTCTATTGGACAGCTACAGGCATTTTATTGGCCGGTGAAATAATAGTTTCTTCATATTTACAGTGTTATCTGTTTAATGCAAACATGTTTCTGCAGACTATGCTTTAAAGGGCCACTATAGGCACCCAGACCACTTCAGCTTAATGAGGTGGTCTGGGTGCCTGGTCCATCTAGGGTTAACCCTTTTTTCTATAAACATAGCAGTTTCAGAGAAACTGCTATGTTTATGTTAGGGTTAATCCAGCCTCTAGCCGCTAGAGGGCTTCCGCGTTTCTCACTGAGAAAATCACACTGAGAAGACGCCAGCGTCCATAGGAAAGCATTGTGAATGCTTTCTTATGGACTGGCTGAATGCGTGCTCGGCTCTTGCCGCGCATGCGCAGTCAGCTGAAGAGGAGGAAAAGAGGGAGGAGAGGAGGAGGAGAGTCCCCCGTCCGGCGCTGGAGAAAGAGGTAAGTTTAACCCCTTCCTCTCCATCCAGCCAGGTGTGAGGGGGACCCTGAAGGTGGGGGCACCCTCAGGGCACTATAGTGCCAGGAAAACAAGTGTTTTCCTGGCATTATAGTGGTCCTTTAACATTCTATCTCTATTGTTTAAAAATACAAAAAGACAAGTCCTGCGTTCACTCCCATCACTTCTGGGTGGCAGCAATGAGCACAGTACACATCAGCCCCAAATACATACAGTAAAAACCAAAGAAAAAGTTACCTGCGCTCTCTCTATTTAGTTACTCCAATGGCCATTGGAAGGAATGCACGTCTGCCACATCAAGGCAAACCTTCTCAGGTGGGTCCTGCACTAACCATTCACCTTGCTTCCTTGAGCTTCTGGCAAAGATATCTCTAATGAGACAGAGAGGGGTATTTTTTATATACACCCCTATATACTTATTAACCTTAATAGGGAACACATTGTAACATTGTGTGATACAAAAAGTGAATACAAAAAAAAACAAGTCCTGCGCTCCCTCCCATCACTCCTGGGCGGCATCATTATCTCTATTGTTAATATTATTATTGACATTTATATAGCACCAACTTATTCTGCAGTATCTTACATTTATATAAAGGGAGGATTTAACAACAAATTAGACTTTTACAAAATGTTACAGGAACAATAGGGTTGATCAGGCCCCAGATCAAATGAACTGATAATCTCTACAATTAGACCCTATAAGTGAATCCCAGAACCCCAAATAATATGGTCACCATCCAGCAATCAAAAGTGTAAAGGTAAATTCTAGCGGTTGTGAGATACCTACAGTTTACACTGGGTGGCCACTTGAGTGAGCCACATCTCTGGTTGGCTGTAGTCATTTTTGTTATACTGACAGCAGGCTATCAGCACAGTGGGAAAGTCCAAGAACGTTGAATGAATATATAGTTCTTTAGCTTTACATTAGTTTTGACAATGAATACATTAAATTGAATTATCATTAAGTACACCTGCTTTGAATAAAGCCTGGCTATTTTAGTTTGAATTTGGATTTTAATACATGGATTAGATGACAAATTTTAGATTTTTTACACATTCATGTATATGCTACTTTGTAAAAGTTTAGGCATGTGTTATGCTGTAGAGTAAGAATACATTAAAACATACAAAAGTATACATTTGTTTTTCCATCAATTAACAAAATGCAATTTGAGTAAAGAAAATTAAAATGTAAACAATCAATTTTCGTTGTCACCAATCTATGCCTTCAAAACAGCATTCATTCTTCTGTGAACAGTTGCACATAGCCTTAGTTGCTTGTCTCCATGTATTCCCAGACAGAATGTGTGATCCCACACAGAGGTTTGTCGTATTAATGTGGAGCATGTTAAACTGGACTGATCTTCTTTCCATAGAAATTTACAGATGAGTCATTTGAGTAAATCAATGTAATATGACATTTCAATACATTATTTCGAAGAAAGTCAAATGAGTCATTTACCGTATGTGTAGATCGATTTGATTTTGAATCATTACAGTTTGAAAATGACCTTAAGATGTTTGGATATTTAATGCCACCCACCTACAGGTTAAATCAGAACATTGTAGTGATGCATATTTTAATAGTGCTATTAATAGTCTCTCATCCAGAATAATTATCATAATGCTTCTTCATACTCTTTTAGCTTTGTGGAGCTAATCAAGAAGCAGGGAATTTCATGACTTGTGATATAGCTCACTTAGAAGTCTTTGATTGGACAGCTCAGGAAATCTGTTATGGAGAAGAAGGGGAGGGCTTGTTGTAACTGCAGATACTAGCTTTGCAGCTATTGCTAGCTACATTCTGATACAATCTTCAAAATAAAATGAATGCATGTTTTCTTTGGGGATTATATCTACTATTTTTTTTACCTCCCCTCTGCTTTCCTTTAATTACATTGGATAATTGAATCCATCAATGGAAAATGCTGAAGTGCTATAAACACAAGCCTTAATTTGTTAAACAACTTTAGAAAATTGTAGTGTTCCTTTAAGAAACTTAGAGATGTACTAAATCAGTTTTCGCAAATTAATTTCATTGAAAACTTAAAAGATGTGCATGTAAGAGAGTAGCTGGCAAGTGAAAACGCAATATAGTCAGATGCACAAACTGATGCATTATGCAGTTACCGATGGGAAAGCTAAACATGGAGACAATGGGTGGTTTTCCTGAGTGCATTTTCATGTCAGGACGACTTTACATTTTGCTTATTGGCCTAATTCTGTCTGGTAGTAAGTTACACTTATTCTATTGATTATACTTTAGGGAAACTGCTGTTAAAAGCCCATGTAATCACTTTGGAATGTGACCCGAGACACTGTAAGGTAGTAGTAAATAAATAATGTTTGATATTAGTATATTAATTACCATTTTGTTTCGTAGCCCTCCAGAGTAAACTTTGAATACACTGAGAGGTAGAAAGAAAAGAATGAAGTTCTATTTGATCCTGGTAATTTAGTGAATCCCTAATCATTAGAGGATTTGGCAGTAATCTTAAAGCAGGTCTGTCAATGCCAGTTAAGTGAAAGTTCTTTGTTCCCGCTATCTCCATTAAATGCTATTTCAACTTAAATTGGGGTGAATTAACACAAACATTTCTGTACTATAAAAATTGTGAAAATAATCAGATTACAAACAGGGTGGCAATTCTCATTTACAGATTTACTGTTTTTACCAAATCTGGATTATCCTGATGGATGTATTCATGCCCAAGTTAAAATTTGTGCTTTTCAGAGATGAAGCATACAATAAAAAAAACATTTAAATTAGGACTGAATCACTGAAAGCATCTGGTGGGGTGGGAGCATGAGGTGGATCCATAACTCCCAACTTTGGTGTCTTGTTAATCTATACTCCAGTGGGAGGAAGAAAGAAGGCAGGCAGTGACACAAACAGATCACTGGCACTGCCCAAAGTGGTGGGTCCACCTAAATATGTCACTTTACCCAGAAGTAAAGGCATTCTGTGTCCTAGTGCCCTGAGCATAGCACGTGCGCGTCTACTAAAACACACACTATGCTTGTTGGCAATAGTTCCTTGGTGTCCCCAAAAGCATCACACCAATGCACTAAGTAAAGATAGGACAGGACCTGATAGTTGGGAGGCCTGGGTGGACCAGTTCCCAGTTCCCCCAGTACTTTTACTTGCCCTATTCCAAATGGATGGGGCATTTTTAGCAAAAGAGGAGCAATAACTCTCCCAGTCACAGGCTGTTCGCATTATTATAGATATATCCCTACTCACTACATGGTGTGTGGTTGCATTAGGGTGGTAATAATCCTAACTATAGCTGGATAATAGCAAAAATCTTTTATTGCTGGCCAGTCACTACATGGTTAACCCTTGTTCTGCTGTGGGCATCAGCAAAACAACCTCCAGTGTAGCCAGTGTGGCTGCACCAGGGCCCGCACACTCAGGAGGCCCATCGGGTGGCCCATGCATTATGTGCCACCTGATGGGCATGTGTCATAGATGATAAAGTTCTACAGCCAATCACACCCCTCTCATTCTCAATGCTAGGAGGAAGCTAGTCACATCCTCCCATCTAATATAGACTGAGCCACACGGGAGGACAAGGTGGGCATGGACTCGCAACAGCCTCAGACAGTGGACCCCAGGGAAGTCACCCATTTGCAAACAAAAGGTAGGACACAGGAGTGTGACTAAAAAGTTGTACATTTTGACCAGCATGTATGTCTGTATGTTTGTAAGTAACTGTGTGAATATTTGTATGTGTGTCTGCATGTATGTCAGTGTTTTGTGTCTGCATGTGGGTCAGTGTTTGTATCTTTGTGTCTGTGTATCTGCATGTGTGGCAATGTTTGTATTGTGGTGTATCTGTATATGCACATGCATCTCAGAATTCAAACACCAACACTACACACAAATACACCCCTGCATTCAAATGGAAGTGCTACATATAAACACACTTCTGTATTTAAACACAAACATTATATATTAACACACCCCTGAGTCAAAAATCAACTCTATACACACACAAGAAAAAAAAAAAAAAAAACACACATTCAAACACAGTTTAGTGCTAAATACAACCCTGCAAGGATAGGCAAATGCTAGATCCTCAACTGGCAAAGCATTGTGGAAGTTGTACGACAGATGTGGATCAACCTTTTGGCCAACTTTGTGATGGGCCATGTCTTGAGCCAGAGCTCTCTCTATGTACCACCACTGGCTTAGTGTTACTTTTAACAATTTGCCTGCTGGTTGCCAGTTCTGCTGGGGCAAATAGCTTGGACATTTAACATCTGGTCATGGATTTCAGTGTTGTTCAGACAGGCTGAAATCCAGACATAATTCTTGTTAGTTTGGAGCCAGAACGACAAAATCCAGACATGATATTGACCCAATCAGCACAGAGCCACTTGGACTTTGTGATTAACCTTGTGACTGTATAATTCTGTTTCTTCACAATAACCTAGAGCTGTGTTTTTTTTTTCTTTAAATCCCCAACATATCTCTGCATGATAATGCTATCTTAATGACTTCTTTAGTTGTAACAAAACACATGATTGAGATTAATTTACAGTACAATAATTAACTTTTTTCCATTGCTATGAATGGTTAATTTCTTGCATGTCACATCACAAAAAATGCAAAATGTGCAAAGGCATTCAAAATCTGTTAAAGATAAAAGGTTAATGGTCGAATTACACTGTTGTTGTAAAATATGGTTTTCTTTAAATTACTTTCTACAGAGCACTGAGCCAGCTCTTCCAAAGAAATGACCTAGCAATTAGTCTGTATGTTATTAGAACTCTGCAGCTGAATTAAATATGCATTGACAGTTAATAGGTCTCTTAAATTAAATAGAAGAAGAATTCACTTAGAATGTTGCATGAATTTTATCTAGAAGGGCAAGTTAAAGTCAAAATAAAATGAATAGTGGGTTTTTGTATGCAGAGCATAACATATACTAATACAATATTTAAAAATTAAATGTTTCAGTTTAATTGATATTCCATTTTTTTATTTTATATATTTTATTTTTTTAAGGTATGTGACACTTTTTAAAAAAAATATTTTAGTAAAATGTTGAACCAGATCTACTATCTCAAAGTCAAAGGCATTATTTTAAATAATGGTTCATAAAAAATTTATTTAGTCAGATTTATTATGTTAATGAGATGACAGTCATCTCAATTCACTAGTATCCAGTAGATAATTGGAATACATGAGAAAATAATCTGCTGTATAGATACTCTTTGGCTGTATAAAACTGTTAAATAAAATCCAAATGGAATATAAATATCTTTTATCACGAACTGCAGTTATAGATTTAAATTTTGATTCAAAGAAAAGGTAACCCAGGATCATCGAACATAGCACATGATGCTCAAATTAAGAGGAATGTCCCTTAAATTTGAGGTGGACCAAGTGTGAATAAACTATCTGTGTCAGTAGTTGATAATCTTGGCATCCCAGATTGTAACAGCAACTAGTAACTGTTTTAGAGAATAGCGGCTGGTCAGTTATTAGTAGCGACAAGGTTATACACTTCTAGTGGAGCAATGGTTCCCCTAAAGACTAGATACTTATGATGTGGTCTGATTAAGACTCATCTTGGCACCACGGATGCTTGTGAATTACTTTTCCCAAAATTCTCAACCAGCCTTAAGGCATCAACTTGAGCGTAATACAGCAGTTTTGGTGTATAGATCATGCCTCTGCAGTCTCACTGTTCAATTCTATGTAATTTAGGAGTTAGATAGTAAAATCAGGTTTGTTTCTGTTTAAACAGCTACAGCTCTAGCCACACCTACCATGACTAACTCACACAGCCTGCATGGAAATAATGATTTTCTTTTCAATCAGACATTAACTTGCTTTAGAAGTTTTGATCTCCTGCTTTGTAAATTTAACTTCAACCACACAATAGGTTCCTGCAGGCTCTAGAGGTCTATTAGCAGAGAAGGATATAAGAGGTTCTAGGTTAAACAGACTGTGCAATAAAGGAACCTAGAATACAAAACAAACAAACTGGTTGCAGACAAAAAAAAGGCGATCAACTAAACAATAAATTGTCAGTTTTCCAGTGCTGCACTTTTTGCCTATAGGTTTTGTAGTGAATGAACTATAGATTTAAATGAATTGCTTACTGATTAAACTTTAATATATAGCGAGTTATTTTGTACAGGACCTAAAAATGCACTGTGGTGTGGGTTACACAGGCCGGCCAGAATAGTACTTGATAAATCCGTTATTCTGTGAGAATGAATGTCCCAGTGCGGGCCAGGATGATCAGAAAATAAACTAGTACATCCCTTGTGACATGATATCCATTTCTTTGTAAAATGTAATATAGCATATATAAGATAAGAAGAGTAGCATAACCCTGAAAAATAAACCCAAATTCATAAAGATGTGCTCAAACAAATGCCAGTGACCTTTAAAGATGATTATTTCCTCCTGATGGGATTCTGGGCTTCTTTCCACTCCCTACAGAAGGTTACTCATTAATAAACTCTTACACTGGGTCACTGACAGAACAATAAGCCCTCCTTTATGTGGAATCTGATAAAGCTCGGAGACAGTGCATTTATGAAATGTTAGACACGTATCACTTTTAAAGGTTACTTCTATGAAAGGTAACATCTCCTGACAGATTTTCAGGACACCTGATGGAACAGCTGCAGGATAAATATATTTAGAAGAGACTAGGCAGAGATCACAAGCGGGTGATCCCAGGTCTGGAAACAATAAATGCATTCTATTCCAGCTCCCTGAGATTGTATCTGCAACTTATAATGAAACTACATAAACTAATTTGACTCTGTGAAATGAGTTAAGGGGAAAAGCTTGGGAATAGCTTTAAAGGAAGACAACATCTGAAATTGCAAGAACTGTATGGAATATACTTTTTCCATGAAATGTTAGATATAATTGTAATGTGCTTGCCTTTCTAATTTAATCCGGACACCTATATACAATAGAATTGAGTTTATATTATTTTTCTAATGTTGTGCGTAAATTTAGACTATAAATGTAATGTATGGATTGAACTTCTGGGATACCTAAAGGGACATCCCAGGCACCAAAACAACTTAATCTAAATGAAGTTGTTATGGTGCCAGGAAGCCCTTGGAAGCACTCTTACCTCAAGCATTAAACTGCTTTTACACGGTTTAACCCCTAAGTTGCCTAAAGCATTGGTCTCATTTCCCCCTGGCGGCATCCGGCTTCAAAATTTTCACTTATAGGAAGCGCAGGTCAGCTGATGCTCTTAGCCGATCTGAGACCCCTCATTCACTAAACTGGCTTGAAAAAGGTAACTTTCTTTCCAAGCCAGTTTAGTGAATGGGAAGTCACTGATTGGCTAAGAGCATCAGCTGACCACTCTTAGCCAATAATATTGGTAAAACATATTGGTATAAATTACCAAGATAATATTAGTAAAAATAGCAGCACAGTCCTTACCCATAAATCGGTTATTTGACAATATGTATTTATCTTTGTCTTTTGTCACACCGACTGAAGATGAACAAATTTTATTTTTATCCTATTCTATTATTGCACTGTATTATTTCAAACTTGTTAATCCTAGCAGCTCTGCACATTTCAATTAGATAGTATTTTAAAGGGACAGTTTAGGCACAAAATGTCCAGGAATGCCACCCGATAAAACAGCATGTTAAAAACAATAATTTTTTTTAACTAATTCCAGATGCATGTTGTCTGAACAAAAC